TTACAATCACATATGCATAGACACACACATCCAAATATGCTGTGCTCACACACACACCTGTCTATTGTGAAATCCCAGGAAACTAGGATTGTCCTGGGACACTTCCATGATCAAACTCCTTCCCTCTTTGCTGACCCCAGGTCATTTTTCCTCCCCCTGTTGCTGCCCCAATCCACCCTCCTCCCCTCAAGCTGGACCATTTTACCTACTCCTCCCCCTCACCCCCGGCTTGTTCTCTTTTCCTGAGTGATTTTAAGTTTCCATTTGTCATCTGAGGTCTTTAATCCCAAGACAGAAGGCCAAAGATGCCTACCCCACACAGCCAAGCCATTAACTAATTGCAAAAGGTGCGCACATCCCATCATATTAATCCCCCTACAGCAGTCCTTCGCCCGAACCTCGCTTCCGGAGTTGTGCTGATCAAAAGGATGAGTCGCCTGCTACTGTCCTGGATGGTATTGCCATGATGGATGGCCCGTGTCCAGAAAGGGTGGAGGTCAGCCTCGGGGACTCACGTGTCAGGCTGAGGAGGGGCTGAGAGGTAGGCAGGCCGGAGCCAGTGGCCGGCCGCCAGGGTGAATTTTTTTTTTTTTTCCGCCAGCTGAGAAGGAGCTGAGACTTCCTGCATGCCCAGGCCTGGCTGGCCTAGACCACTGTCCCAGGATGGTCGGGCTTCCGAACATCTTCTTGTCTTTTTGTCTTCTCCAAGGACAAGCACAGATGAGAAGAACTGAAAGGTCCCCAACCCCCTCTTTCCAGCAACTCTGCGCTCGCTAAGTCAGCAAGTTCAGGGAGGCTGGCTTTCAATGGACTGCCCACAATCTGCGGACACAAACCTTCTTCCTGACGGTGATCCTGGAGGGTAGGTGGTCCCCCGAAGCTTCCCGTCGCCTCCACGGGGGACTGGCAGGCCCTGCCAGCAACGTGCAGGGACTGTCTGATGACCTATTTCCCAGCGGGAATTCTCAGCGAGTCTGCAAGCGTGCGTGCACATCCTGCTTTTCCACTTCTAGGGTGGGAATAAATTGCCTGATTGACAAACCTCCCCTGTAGTTCATGCACACTGTGCCCGTGGGTTGGCCGCGGCTACAGTTGCAGTCAGCTGACCTAATCCATTTATCTTATTTATACTGTGTTCCATTTTCCATATGCGGAGTCGGGGCCTCCTGGATCTGGTATGCAAATGAGACACAGAGATTTGCAAATGAGCAGAGGCCTGACACTTTAAAAAATTATCATTAAGGACCTTGCCACCCTGCCACTGGGTAGGAGGAGAGGGGCTGGAACTGAGAGTGGGTGATACGAAGCATCCTTCCCAACGTGCTGGTCTGCACTCTCCTCCTCCTCCCAGCCTTCCTGAAGCCTCGTGGAGCTCTGTCCCCTTCCACAGCCAGTCTATTGTTGGAGGGTGATGGGCACAGGCGTTGCTGGGGACAAAAAGGCTGGCAGGACATTCATAGGGCGTTAAACAAGGCCAGACCGGGATTCCAACCAGCATTCCCTATCCACATGCCCCGGGCCCCAAAGTCCCACACCCCACTGCTTCAACAAACAAAAGAGAGGTTTGTCCACCCAGTTTTTTCTTTTGGGGGGTGGCCCATGGATGAGCTCTATTTAGAGCAAGGAGGAGGTACCTGTAAGCCACCAAATAAGATAATCATTAATCAAATAGCCCTCAGACAAGAACCACGACCATGCAACTTTACAGAATCTTCTTTCTCCTCTTTCTCTGCTCCAAACCCCCTTCAGGCAGATGTGTTTGTTCAAAATTACAGCCAGCATGATCTGTGCTGTGTGCTTAGTTGCCAGTCATGTCCAACTCTTTGCGACCCCATGGACAAGTCTTTATCGAATGCCCCCTGACTCAGAAGCCATCCCATGAAGGAGGCCAAGTGGGAACAACAAATCTGAATCCTCCTCGGGAACTCCAAGTGGTATGTTGGCTGCAAGACACCCGATGTGATCCAAGAACGCACCCTGGACAGTGAGTCACCACGGGTGGGCCCAACGGAGGCCATCTGGGGAACCCAAGTTTGAGAAACAGGAAAGCACAACCATTCAAAACTCCTCCCCACTCCAGCTTCCGGCAACCTGCTCTGTTATTCTCTAGTGTGGTATTCTAGAAAGGAACCTCATTTGAGTTCAAAGTTTGGTGGATTAATTTGAAGCCAACGTCTTACTTTTCTTTTAAGACACTGGAGAAAAGAACATGTAATCCCAGCTTTTCCAAAGGCGGAGCAAGAGACTTCAATAACAAAGCTGTATTTCACTTGGCAATCGGGGAAAACTGCCCCCCGCCTTTTTTTCAAGTGCTCTTGTTTTTTGTTCTGCTTCTAAGAGCATGCAGAAGAGACATCTCCAGGGCAGTAGGAACTCTTCTATCAGGAATTTCAAAAATGGCATTCCAAACATTTGGCCAATGGTTAGGCATCTGGGAGCTGATTTCCAAGATGCAAATCATGGTACCCACCATCAGGAACGTAGGGCAACTTGTCTCTGATGAATAAGATAATATTCGCAGAGGTTTTAATAAAATGAAATACAAGATCCTGAGAAGATAATGCCAGATTTAACCCCAAAGCCCCTGGCTTGCAAGAAGAATGGACTCCTCCCCATGCTAGCTCTCAAAGCAAACCTCCATGTCCTCTGGATTTGTCTTAATGCAATTCATTAAGGACAAGCCACCACTGGTGACCAGGCGATGTTTTTAATTACTGTGTTCCCATTGACGTCTGCATGGCCTTGTTATCATTCCAGCAGATATTTACAAATATGACTTCTAGGGGGGGTTCCCTGTGATCTCCACGAGGACTACAGCTGCTAATGAGAGCCAGGCAGGCCCCCAGCCAAGGGGGCTGTTGATTATCAAGCCAAGAAACATCCAGACTCAGAAACTAATGAGCTGGCAGAGAGACCAAAACAGACTAGGAATGTGTAGCCCAGCACTGAGGAGAGAGGTCACTGAGACAACCTCAGGAGAGAGACAGAGCCAAGACAGAAACTTTCACGGGAGCCAAACCTTTGTGGTTGCTAACTGCCCTGATGAACAGCAATTTTATTCACCAAACGTCTATCAACTTCCTTCTATGTACCATGCATTGGGCTAGGTGCTGGGGAGGTGGTTCCGTCATGCTTGCCGCCCCTACAGAAGAGCTGGGAAGGCCGACAAGAGAAGATTACTCAAAGATGTGAGAGCCCCCGTGGCTGTTCCACTCATGGAGAAAGTCACCAGGTTCTGTCTTGTGACCTGCTCTCACAGTATCGTCTGGATCTGAAATTTCACTCTGGAATGGCTTCAGACACCCGCCTTAGGGCAGAGATGGACCAGATGCTCACCAAAACTGTTTCCTCTTCTGGGCACGCAGTTAAACTAATTTTGAAACCCCTTTTAATCTTGATGAGAGACTAGCTTTCAACAATCAACTGTGAGCAAAGGGGATGAGGTACTGAAGAAGGAGAGTGCCTTCTCTCTCTCTCCCTTGCTCCTATCTGCTTGCTGGATGATGCCAGGGTGACCTTGAAGGCACATTTTGAAGATGGCAGTGCTGAAGCATGTTAGAAGCTACTTCAGGTTCCCTAAAGGCAGAGCTTGAGATGGGGATTCTGATGCAAGGGACTGTGTGACAGAATGCTCCCAGGTGAAACCTACAAAGAAAGAAGTAGGATAAGTCAAAGGAAGAATCTCAGCAAACAGGTAGTTTGGGATGAAGTTTAGCTCTGATTCCCCAGGAAACTCAGGAACATGAATGCCTCCACGGAGCTGTGTCCACTTGAGGCCATGGAGCCAGGTATCTGTCCTCTGGGTCAGTCAGTCATTGGCTGCGGGCTACCTCCGGGGGTTGCCTGCCCTCTCCAGCATTTCTGGGGGGAGTATCTGCCCATCAGCTCCGGGCAAATAGCAATCAGCATCCAACTTTTACAACAGGTGCAAGATGGGCATATCAGACTGGTAAAGGAGAAATTGAGAAAATACCTATTAGCATCTACTCCAATGGGTTCCCTGAATGATTGCCTGGGGCAGACCCCCCGCCTGCACTAGACTGTGACGTCAACAGGAAGTAACCCTTTACTGTTGTAACTGTTAGGCCACCGAGATCTTGGATTTGTTGCAGTAGCCAGTGTCAGACTAGTTGCACACCTAGCCTCCTAAACCAGAAGCTGGTAAACTTTCTCTGTAGAGGACCACAAATACTTTCAGCTTCTTGGGACACATTGGTGTCTGTGGCTACTGTTGGCCAGAGCTGTCTGGTAGATGCACCATAATCTGCCAGTGCATGTGTGTGTGTGTGCTGTCTTGTCCAACTCTTTTCGACCCTATGGACTGTAGCCTGCCAAGCTCCTCTGTTCATGACATCTCCCAGGCAAGAATACTGGAGTGGCTTGCCAGTTCCTCCTCCAAGGGGTCTTCCCAGCCCAGGGATCAAACCCACATCTCCTGAGCCTCCTGCATTGGCAGGTGGATTCTTTACCACTGAGCCACCTGGGAAGTCCATATTATACAATTGGTGTTGTTGTTCAGTCGACCAGTCGTGTGCAACTCTTTTCGATCCCATGGACTGCAGCACGCCAGGCCTCTCTGTCCCTCACCTCCCGAAGTTTGCCCAAGTTCACGTCCATTGCATCAGTGACACCATCCAGCAATCTCATCCTCTGATGCCCTCTTCTGATTCTGCCCTCAATCTTTCCCAGCATCTGGGACTTTTCCAATGAGTCAGCTGTTTGCATCAGATGACCAAAATACTGGAGTTTCAGCTTCAGCATCAGTCCTTCCAATGAGTATTCAGGGTTGATTTCCCTTAAGATTGACGGTTTTGATTTCCTTGCTGTCCAAGGGACTCTCAGAATTCTTCTCCAGCACCACAGTTTGAATGCATCAATTCTTTGGCTCTCTGCCTTCTTTATGCTCTTCTTGCAACTGTATGTGACCACTGGGAAGGCCTTGATGTTATACAATATATTATGCAATAACATTAAATAAAGCCCAGGTGATTGATTTGAAAATGAAAACAAATGTAAGGTTTGTGTTATGATTGTTGTTTAATTTGATTTCATCTTCAGTGACCACAGAAGGGCTGACTTTCTGTGTCTGAGGTAGATGGTTCTAGATTCTGTGTGGGTTCCTTATGAGTTGCTATTGGAGATGACTGGCTGCAGCTCCCTATACTTTGGAACCTCCTGTCTCAAGTCTCTCTCACCAGTGAGAACAGAATCAGCAAATTCTGGCTTTACCAGCTAGGGCAGTGCTAACTGTGGAGGGCCCAGGTATGCTGAAGGACCAGCATTACACATCCTAGAATCTTAAAGTTGATCCATCTAGTACTTAAGTCTCATTGGCTAGAATCTCTTCTTGGTGCTTCTACATCCGATTTTAACAGTAAATTGACAAATATAGCAGCCATAGCCTGAGAAGAGCATGGTAACCAGAGGCCCAGACCCATATGTAATGAGAGTCTAGCTCACTTCAGTGGGGAAACTGCCTAGAATTAGCAGAGGTGCTAGCTGAGTGTGAGGGAAGTCTTGAATGGATGATAGAGGTGAGGGTAGTGAGCATCAGTTATGGCCACAAGATCAATCAACTCTTCTAAGTTTCTCAGGAAGGAAGACCACTTAGAATCCTGGAGAAAGGCTTCCCAAATGAGACATACTCACCTAAGAAGCAAGTAAATCGGAAGAGCACAGGGGTAGACTTAGGGGATACTGTGGACTCGGGACACTTCATGTAAAGGCCAATACATCCATCCCCCGCTGGCTGGGAATATCAGCCTGTTGGTCACTCACAGCTGGGTTCTTCACTAGGCATTGCCCTCAGTCACAAGAAACTGCCCTGCACAAGTTTATGCCCTCCCTCCCAGGAGTTGCCCTAAGCCATCCCTGGCTGATACAGGGGTACAAAGGCCTGGTCCCCTCACCTCAATTTTGGACAATTCTGAAGGGCCACCCCAGCTCCAATGCCCCCATATCCGCTGAGGCCTCAGTTGCAACTGCTTCACCATCCTGCATCCCTCACTTACTTGCAGGTGCCTCTACCAAGACACTACCAATAAATCTATTGCATACAGCAACTAACAAGTCAGTCCTAGTATGTATATGAAGATATAAAGGAACCAGAACAGCCAAAACAATTTTGAAAAGAATAAAGTGGGAGGACTTACACTTTTTGATTTAAAATACACTACAAAGCTATGGTGGCTCAGACCATAAACATCTGCCTGCAGTGCAGGAGACCCAGGTTCAATCCCTGGGTTGGGAAGATCCCCTGGAGAAGGGAATGGTCACCCACTCCAGTATTCTAGCCTGGAGAATTCCGTGGACAGAGGAGCCTGGAAGGCTACAGTCCATAGCGATGCAAAGAATCAGACACAACTAACATTTTCACTTTTACAAAGCTATAGTAATCAAGATAGTGGGTTACTGGCATAAGGATACACATGGAGCAGAACTGAACCAATGGAGCAGAAGTGAAAGTCCAGGGAAAAAATCCTTATATTTACGGTCAATTAACTTTCAACATAGGTACCAAGATTATTCAGTGGGAAAGGACAATCTTTTCAATAAATGATGCTGGATCTACTGGATACCCATGAAAAAAGATGAATTTCGATCCTTATATCTCACCATCCATACACAAAAAATAACTCAAAATAGATCATAGATCTAAATGTTAGACCTAAAATTATAAAACTTTTTTAGAAGAAAACATATGACAAAATCTTTGTGGACTTTGATTAGTCTTTTCTTAAATATGACACGAGAAGCATAAAATTTTAAAAATTGTAAGTTCGACTACATCAGATTTTAAAACATCTGCAATTCAAAAGACACCATTAAGTAAATAAAAAGACAAGCCACAGACTGGGAGAAAATATTTGCAAATCACATATCTTGCATACAAAAAATATTATTTTCAACTCTTAAAACTCAGTAATAGGAAAACAGAGAGCCCACTTTTTTTTTAATGATCCAACACATTTGAATAGTGGTTTCATCAAAAAACGCGAAAGTGAAAGTCACTCAGTTGTGTCCAGCTCTTTGCAACCCCATGGACTATACAGTCCGTGGAATTCTCTAGTCCAGAATACTGGAGTGGATTGCCTTCCCCTTCTCCAGGGGATCTTCCCAACCCAGGGATCTAACCCAGGTTTCCTGCATTGCAGGTGGGTTCTTTACCAGTTGAGTCACAAGGGAAGCCTGAAGAAGACATACAAATGTCTAATAAGCCATATGAAAAGATGCTCAACAGCATTAGTCATTAGGGAAGTGCAGATCAAACCGACAATGAGATATTGCTTCACACCCACTAGGATGGCTGGAATCAAAAAGACAGACACTAGCAAGTGTTGGTGAGGATATGAAGCAACTGGGACTCTCATAGACTGCTGGTAGAAATGGAAAGGGTGCAGCCACTTCAAAAAACAATTTGGCAGTTTCTTAAAGAGTTAAACAGAAATTTAAGCCACTTAAGCCAGCAGTTCCACTCCTTGGTAAATACCCAAGACAAAATGAAAACTTATGTCTGTCCACACAAAAATTTGTGCACAAGTGTTCATAGAAGCATTATTCATAATAGCCAAAAAGTGGAAACAGCCCAAATGTCTACAAACCCAGTTGAAAACAACAGACGCTGCATTTTATTTATTTATTTTGGTTGCACTGAGTCTTTATTGTTGCGCATGGGCTTTCTCTAGTTGCAGAGAGTGGGGGCTACACTCTAGTTGAAACACATGGAGCTTCTCATTGTGGTGGTTTCTCTTGTTGCAGAGCACAGGCTCTAGGTGCATGGACTTCAGTATTTATGGCACTCAGACCCTAGAGCCTACAGGCTTCAGGAGTTGCAGCTTACAGTCTCTAGAGCTTGGGCTCAGTAGTTGTACCAAAGGGGCTTAATTGCTCCACAGCATGTAGAATCTTCCTGGTCCAGGTATCGAACCATATCCCCTCCATTGGCAGGTGGATCCTTAACCACTGGACCACCAGGGAAGTCCACATATATTGCATTTTAATAGAAATGCCTATTTCTTTGTACCTCTAGTCAAATTTGAGAAAATTAGCAGTTTCAAGATGAAAAAGCCCCAAAGTATGCCCAAGTACACACACACACACACACACACACACACACACACACTCATCTTTCAAGCTTTCTGCCTTGACATATCAGCCACCATCATCATCACCTTTCCTGACCCGAGGTCTAGAATGCAACACTGGAATTCCTTCCCATGAAGAAAATAACTCAACCCCTGCCCACACGAAGCAGAGCCACAGTGGCCCATCCTACCATTCCTCATTATTTATAATTGTGAAATCCTATTTTTAATAGATGTTTCTGTTCTGTGCTTATTTGTCATAATTCTTTGGCCTTAAAAGCCCAGCTACCCTGAGGTGTAAACAGTGGTGGTATAAATTGCCTGTGTTTGGTGGCTAGTGAGGGTCAGCGGGTTGGCAGGAAGGAGCCCATGAGACAGACTAGGAAAAAGAGAAGGGAAAGAAAAAAAAAGATGAGTTGATGAATAAGGACTCTGAGTTCATCCCCACAAGGCTGACTGGTCATTGCTCAATGTTGCAAGACACTGATTTCTGAGAGGTTTGCAGTAACAGCTTGCTCGACTTGGAAATTGCTGTGAATGTGAGTTCCACCCGAGGCCGAACCTGTAAAAAAGAGTTCTTGGGCATCCTCACCTGGCTGACAGGTCTGGGACGTCAGGTGTTCCTTTGGGGGTGGCTGAGTCTGAGCCCCAGCAACCCTGCCCCCAAGCTCTTGACCACCAGACCGATCAGCAAAGACCTTGTCTCATCTCACTCCCTCTGTCCCCTGGCTCTTGCTTCTGCCATAGGTTGCAGCACTGCCCACTGCCTGGAATGCCAGACGCCCACTCAGTCACTCCCGAAACATTCATGGGACATCCACCATGACCCCGTGGAACTACCTCTGGGCTAAGTTCCAGATCAAACAAGCCATGAATAACACAGCCTCTACCCACAGGAAGTTTGCAGGTGTCAGAATCAGGTATTTTTTGCACTGTGATAAATATGGAAGGGGGAAATATCAGAAACAGAGAAGTGGCTTTGGGCAAGTCCACCTAGAAGGAGATGCCTGGGGAGACTTCCAAGAAGAGAGGACACTTAGATGGTCTTTTCAAAGAAGGGTGTCCTCTTGCACACAAGGCATTAGATTTCATTCAAAGGAGAGAGCGTACCAACTGAAGAAAAACTCCAGAACCATGCTGTCCATTAGAATTTTTTCAATGATGAATATATTCTGTATCTGTGCCATCCAAAATGGTAGGCAGTCATAAATGAATACTCAAAATGTGGCTAGTGAGGCTGAGCAATGGAATTTTATTTTATTTCATCTTGATTCACTGTAACTTCAATATGCACACGCGGCTGCAGGCTAGCCAAGTGGACAGCACAGCTTCTGGGATACAAAACAGCAGGGCCCATTCCCAGAAGTGCCGGTGGTCATAGGAGACAGAAGATTCGGGTGCTTGGGCATGACTACTAGGAACAGCCAGAAAAAAAGAGGCCAGGTCACCGAGGAGCTTGTGGACCTGTCTGAGTCAGGCATCGGGGATGATGACATATAGATATTGCCCTACCTAGTGAAGGAATTCGTCCCTCTCCGCCCCTCCATTCGAACACTGCCGGCTGCTAGGGGGAAATGGGCTGAGAAAGGGCACAGATGCATGGTGTGGGCATCCTGGTCACTCTGACTGGCTGGACAAGTGCAAGTCCCATCAAAAGGGGGCAGCCAGTACTCAGCGTCACTGGTGCTCTTGTTGTCTCCAAATGCAAGCCCCCAGTTGCCCGATCTTCAGATGATTCAAGAGAAGCCAGAGTCATGATCTATTTGGGGAAATAGTTCAGTATATCCAAATGCTGGCTACATTTTTGTTAAGGCTCCACAGTCCAAGGAAAACCAATCTGGGGGCTGGGATTTGGTCATTGAACTACAGATTTGCAACCAAGACTCATCTCTCCACCTGTGGCACCCACCAAGCTTCTAGTATGAACCTTGCGCTTATAATGCTCATCTCTCCCCACTAGGCACCCCATTCCTCAAGGGCAGAGATGGAAGTCTTATTCATCCATCCCTTCCAGAACCTAGTCCAATGCCTGTACATAGTCTCTGCTTCATAGATGTTTGTTGAATGAATGAAAGCACGACCTCATTCATGGGTGAAATGATCCTGCCAGCCAAGGCAGTGGCTCGAAGACACAGCAGCAAAGGAGTTAAAAGGCAAGAAACGAACTAGGCTTGGGGATAAAATCCCATTAATTGCCATCTTACCAGAAATCTTCTTCCCTGCAAATCCGCAGGCTGTAAATTAAAATCTGAATAGTTGTTTTGAGCGCAGCTTTCTCCAAACCACAGATTTGCAAACACTTCTCTTCCTGGTAGCTTGAGGCCTCACAATCGTCTTGTGCTATTAAATCTTGCTGAAAAGTGGGCTGAGACCACTGGGTCTCTTGTGAACATTACCAGACGTGTCAACGGTTGGTGTGGGACTCAGCGAGATGCCTCTGCCCCTGTCACCAGGGAGGGTCCAGCCGCGAAGAGGCACCTTGGGAGGAGGATGCCTGACCTCGGGTGACCCCCCAGAGCTGGGGGGAGGGGCGGAGATGGCATCCCAAAGTGGCGAATCCAGGTCCACAGCCCCTGGCTTGTTCCGCTCCAAATTCCCGTAGCACATCAGGGGAAGTTATGCTTCAGCTGCTCCAAGCCATGCCTGAGAATGTGTGCTCCGCACCACAGCAGCTTCCTAAAGCCAAGCAGATCTTTGTGCAGCGATGTCAAACTTGTGGCAGGAACAATGAAAGCCCAGCCAAGAAAATGTATGAGGAAGCTTCCGAAAGAGGTGGGAGGGTGTGCCATCCCAACAACCCCACACCCAGACTCCCATGAGGAGCAAGAGACTGCGTTCCCATGATTTTTTCCTTTGGGGGCAATTTTGGAGAGATTTTTTTGAATGCCTGCAATTCATCTTGGTAAAATCAAGACTGAAAAGCACCTAAAGGACTTTGAGTGGACCCCCTCCCTTGTTTAGTGTACAGATGAGGAAACCGAGGCCCCCCTCATTCTCAAGCACTGAATTCAAGGACACGCGGATGGACTCTCGGAGCCGAGCCCAGCACTCTCTTATCTTCTACGGCACCGCGGGTGCCCCTTGCTAATCCATACATCTGCACACACCGCGGTGTCCTCTCGCGGTCACTGATGACAAAGGCCATTTTTCACAGGAGGATATAATCTGCTAAAATCTTCTCCCGCATTCCAGGGCAAGAGTGCCCATATTTCACCGAGCAGGTTAATCACAAACATCAAGTGATGAAGCAGGAGGAACAAGAGAAGAAAAGGAGCCCTCACGGTTTGTGGAAACTTCTGAAGTGGGACATGTTTTGCTTCCCCTCCTCATACAACACTGCAAACCACCTAAAAGCCTGTAACATTTAGCAAAACCCTTTGCCATACCTGGATACAAAATCATATTCTCTTTAAACCGATAGACACTTTATTTAGGAAAGATAATTGATGAGCTATTTATATTAGTCTCCAGTGTCCAGAGCCACCATCATTGAGATGAAGTGCTCAGGACAGAGTGAAATCCCTTAATTACTCTCACATGTGTTGCGTGTTGCAGAGAAACAAAACAGAATGCAAAGTGCTTATATATTTCAGCCGCATAATAGCTTGATGAAGATTTCTAAATTTTTCAAAATGTCATTTCTTTCCAAAAGATGGATTATTTCTGTTGGGGTTTAGTCTACCTAATTACTCCTGCCTTGATTACTTAACTACTCCAGATATTTCATCCCTCCATGCTCTTATCATGTTCGGCATGTTAGAAGAACCAAGGCAGCTTATTAGCACAAAGTAGACAGTCGAGTTTCCTGGCAGTTAGTGTGGGAGCATGGATGACAAAATTGAACACAAGGAACAGCTCCTGTGAAGCAGTGGCCTTATTGCAGCTTCCGGCCATTTGCTGCAACCCAGGCTAGTCTGCACAGGGCATCTTCTAGACCCAAGTCACCCTGCCCCATTATCCCAGGAGGCAGCATGTTGATTCCCCTCTGCTCTCCAGCTCTCTGCCCCGTCCATTATGGAGACCTTGAGTCTGGGCTCCTTATTTCCTTCTTTAGAGGAGTGCTTCTCAAACTTCCACACGGAGGACTCCTTAAAACAGAGAAGGCCCAGCGCCACCACAAGGTGGCTAGATTCGGCAGGTCTGTAAGGATCAGAGAACCTGTGTCTCTAACAAGTTCCCAGGCCATGTTGATGCTGCTGCTCCTGGGGCCACACTTGTAGAACACCGCTTTAAGACAATATCTGTCTTTCTTTAAAAAAAATTTTTTTTAACCACTCAAATCTGTAATTAGTGTCTGTAATTAGGTCGGAAATTGGGACTAAAAATATAAGAACCGGCCTGTGCAATGCAGGAGATGTAAGAGATGCAAGAGCCATGAGTTCAATCCCTGGGTCGGAAAGACCCCCTGAAGAAGGGAATGGCAACCCACTCCAGTATTCTTGCCTGGAGAATCCCATGGACAGAGGAGCCTGGCGGTCTACAGTCCATGGGGTTGCAAAGTGTCGGACACCACTGAGTGACTTAGCACGTCCGGTATCTAGCTCTGGATTCAATGAGCAAAATAACTATTTAGGTTAAAGGTAAGGGCCTCAGAGTGAGAGAGAGGACAGAATGGAGGGAGGAAGAAAGGATGGAAGGAAGGAAGATGGTTGAACAGGGCAAGACATCTCCGGAAGGTGTGATTCTACAACTATACTCTGGAGAGTCAGGGAACAGGCACAGCCTCGCGGCTGGACTGAGAGGAATATGGCTTTTCTCCGTGTTTTCCTGTTACGTGGGGATCGCAGGGTGGGTTACCCTATCAGACGCGGGTCCTTTTTCACTCGCACGGGGCGCTGGGCCATGGGCAAGCCTGGATCCCAGAGCCTGCCTCCGGCGCACCTGTCACGCTGAGGGAAGGAGGCCCGCGCCCTTTGGCTGATCCCACAGCCTGGAAAAAAGCCAGACTCCCCAGCCTTTGAAAGCCTGTTCCTTGAAGCAATCCTGACTCGCTAGGTTTAATTGTTTCGTCTCTTTCCCTCTGGTTTATGAAGCCGCCCCGCCTGGAGTCCGCCCCTTGCGCAGCGGCCCCGGAAAGGTGGGAGGAGCGCGCTCAGCGTTCCCCGCTCGGCCAGAGCGGGTTTCCATTTCCCGGTTATAAAGAAGCATTTGTTGAGAGCTGATGAATTGCAGCGGGGCCGGAGCCGGCCCGGATGCGCACCTGTGATGCTATGCGCCTACCGGGTTCTGTTTATGCATTAAATGTGGGCGCAGGTTTTCCCTGGCTATTGGGGTGGTGGGGCGAAGAGGGAGCAGGCTTCGAGTGCAGCGCCTCTCCATCCACCCCCTCCCCCACCACCTACAATCTTGAAATCCCCTGAGACCTGGCAACTCAAAATGTGGTCCAGGGAGCAGCAGCAGCGCCCGGAGCTCGTTAAAATGCAAATCTCGGCCCCACCCAGACCTACTGAATCTGAATCTGCGTTTTAAGGAGAGCCTGCAGTAAGTCCCAATTCCGATTAAGCAGGACATAGGGGTGCCTAGCATGGAAAAGGTTAAGCGCTCCTTCTTTCAGACAAGGAAGGGCAGGGGAGGGAGGTAAAGGTCAGCCCCCGATGTGAAAAGGAGTAGGGGGTTAACCCTGAGGTTTGCCCACTGGAGTGGAAGACAAATTAACATAGGGAGTGAGTTACTGGAAAAGTGGCCGAAGCTGGGTGAACATGAGTTGCAGGGGACAGCCCAATTTGTCTGGGGAGAGGGGTGGAAAGAAAAGAGATGGGGTAAGTGGGTACCACCCACACTCCCAGAAAAGTTGGGTATGTTGCATGCGAAGACCTTTTCCTCTGCCTGCTGCGCATTTTCTGAGACCCAGCTGAGGCGGTTCAGCACGTACAATGCGTAATAGATGAGAAAACAGTGGCGGCCAGAACTGATGGCAGGCACGCCGCTGAGGTAAGAGCACCTGGGAACTTCGTAATAAGCAAGTTGACATGTGGTGAATAAAATTTTAATGCTGGAAGAAAAAGAAAACACACAGTCATAAAAAGTATGCCCAGCATCGCTGCATTGTAACCAAGAGAACGCGCCAGCCAGGGAGCGCCTGTGGAGCTGAAGTGATGAGGGCCACCCCATCCTCCCATCCTAGCAATAACTTGTTTCTGGGCCCAAGAACCAGCCTGTTCTCCAGAAGGAACTGAGCATATTCAAGAGGAGGTCATCCGAAAAGAAATGATTTGGTTTTGGTATGAGGACAAGAAGTGATAAGCACCAACCTCTCTGGGTCCCCCTCTGACCATCTCTTGCCCTCACTTAGCAGCAGCCCTGCTGGAACCAGGTGGTGGGGCCCAGGGGCGGGAGGGACGGAGGCTTCAGTTAAATCTCATAAAATCCAAAGTAGCTGGTACACTTTCAAACTCCCCTCCAGGCCTCTTTCATCAGCCCTATTCAACAATTTTATGCATGGAGCAGGTGGACCGGTGGAAAACACACACCCATCAAATTCCTGGTTGCCCCCAAGCAGGTAGAGTAGTTAATCTACCAAGCAGATAATTTACTTGGACTTCAATTATGTTTCAACAGACTGTAACAATAAAGTGAGTCTATCAAGATGGTATTCACTTATTTATTTATTTATTTATTTATTTATTTATTTATTAATAATGCCTTCTCCTCCTCTTCCATAAAGGTATTGAGGTGCTTTGCAGAAATTGTAGCAAATTAAATCAAAATATTAAAAATGTAAAAGTCAGGTTCAGTTCTGGTGTAAAGTAGCATTAGACATCAGGACTGGTGCAAATGGTGACATTAAAAAGGAAAAAATTTAAAGTTCTATCCTTGTTCCAGAAAGCAAAAGTCGGGGTATAGGATGTGAGCAATGTGGTTTAGCAACATCTGAGATTAAAAAAAAACAACAACAACCGTAATGAACAGTCTGAGTAAAGAGTAGGATACAATGACTGGAAAAATTAAAAAGAACTCAGCTCCTAGGGTATAGTTACAGATGGAAATGTCTCTAAAAAGGGAAGGGATGGTCCCACACTGCCATACTCTTATCAAGACCACTCCTGAAATATTCAGCTCACTTCTGAAAGTCACACTTTGAAAAAGTCATTTGGCAAACTGGACACACTCTGAAGAAAATAATCTGGAGCGTGAAAGATCATGAAACACAGAAGTGGGCTATGTGCTGGGCCCTGTGTGAGATACCAAAGGGACAAAGTCATGGAAGACATGGTCTTGTCCTTCAGAAACTTATAGCCCAGTGAGAAACTCAGATAAGTAAACCACAGAAAGAAAGAAGGCTAAATCAGGCAGTGGAATCTTGGAAGAAATTATGGAAATTATGAAATATTTGGACTGGGTGACATCCAGCACTCAATACTCTCAACAGCTGCAGAAATGAGTGCCTCCGTGTTAAAGGGAGAATCCAAGTGCATCTGCACAGTGCTACACAGATCAAGAAAACCCTGACTACAGAGGCTTCAACAAATAAGATGGATTTTGCTCATACCACAAGAAGAGAGGAGGTAAGCAAATATCAGTCCAAGAACGTCAGCACCTTAGACTCTGTGACTTTCTTGGCCCTTCCCTCATGGTTACAATATGACTGCAACTGCTCTTGCCGTCTCATCTACATTCCAGCAGGAAGAAGGGGAAAGGGCAACACTTGTATCAGGAAGACAAAAACTTTCCCAAACCCACAGCAGAGATGCCTGCTTACAGTTTATCAGCCAGAACTATGGCCCCTGTTCCCATAATGTGATTCATTATCAGGAATGCACTTTGGGTCAGGCAACTAACAGTGTCTGACATGAATGGGTTTTTGTTTTTTTTTTAAATTTCAGCCAAACACTGCTTCAGGCCATTCATGTCATTCATGGCCTTCTTCGGCCCATCTAGCACCACGTTGAGGCCTGGCTTCAGAAGCCCTCAGGAAAACACCTCCTGCAACTCTATCTGTGACAAGAGAGTCATCAGAATTGAAGTCCGAAACTCAGAGTGGGGTGTGTGGGGGGGGTGGGGTGGTATCCATCTCGCCGCATGCAAGTCCACACCCACAGGAGGAAGTCGAGTAGCCCGAGACCCCCACACCTGGAAAAGGGCGCTCCTGGCCACCGCCAACTTTCAGCCCCTTGCCCTCCAGCTGCGGATCCACGTGGACTCCACAAATGGGTTTTGAATTTCAGGCTTGGGAGACTGAAGGGATGATGGTGCCATTCACAGAGACCAGAAATACAGAGGAGGAACAGGTTTGCTGGAAGCGAGGGTGTCAGTTAATCAGTTCAGTCTGGCATATAAGTTGAAAAGCCTGTGAAGTATCCCCAAACAGAAATGCTAAGTGGAGAAATTCGTTGTGAAGGTTTGGATTGTAACTGAAAGAGCTCTGTGCTTCAGACATGGATTTGGGAGTCAGCAGCAAAGAAGTGAGGATTGCAGCCTTAGATGTAGGGTTAGGGTTTGAGTTCCCTCAGGGAAGGAAGTGCGGAGTGAGAGTCTAACCAGGCTCAGCCGGGTACCAGTTTCACATTTAGGCATGAAGTTGGCGGGATGAGAGGAAACTGAAATTGTGTGCTGGGAAGAAACAGCTAGATGGGAAACCAGGAGAGAGTGGTTCATAGAAGCGGTGGGAAGGGAGATTTTGAAGGAGGGGGAGAGAGACAGGCGCTGCCCACACTGTCAATGCCCCCCCCCACTTTAGCCCGTCTCTGAGCATACCTGCGGCTGGGAGCCTCTGGGCACATGGCCAGCTTCTGCCTTGAGAGCTTGTCTCCGTGTGTCGTGGGACTTTCTCTGGCCCTATAGGAGATTATTTCACCAAGTGCAGGCACAGGTTGGAAGGTAGAAGCTTAGACCCCCAAGTTTGGGGGGAGCAGCAACCATCAGGTAAATCCCCCAGCCTTCTCAGTTCTGAGCTGGATTTCACACAGGTTCTTCGAGGGTCCAGAGGAGACTGAGCTCCAGTTGCCCACTGCTGTGTGTCGCTTTACTGGTTCTGTTCTCTTCTCCATTCACTCTCCCTACCCATCCAAGGGTGCCCATGGCTTGGGAGCCCCCACGGAGGTGCAGGGAGCCACCCACCACTGGTATCAGCATCTTGCTTTGATCCTTTGTATAGTTTGGTTGCTGCTGTAGAAGGAAACCAAACTAAAAGCAACCTTGAACCAGATCCAGTTGTCATTTTCTCCCATCCTTGAACTAAGACCAGACTCTAAACTAGGGTCAAAATACATGGGAGAAGGAGAGAAAAGGAAAGCTTGGCTTTGGCAAAGAGGGTCAACTTTGAGCTGGACCAGGCAGTTTCAGAGATGTGGCAGTGGCTGGGACTAGATGTCAATGAGATGAGAAGTGAAAAAAAGAGAAGGAAATTGAGTCAGCTGGTGTGGACTACACATTCAAGGCTCTTGACTCCAAGAGGCAGGAGGACCCAGGATCATAGCTAGCTTGTGATGTAGTCAAGGGAAGTTATTAAGCCTTCTCTCACCAATCTAAACCTAAAAAAAAAAAAAAAAAAAACTTTGAGATGTATGAAGTAATTAAACTTGGAACACTGACTGGATATTTGAAAATATTAACAGGTAATTGTTAAATATTATAGTTACATTAGGAAAAGAGCCTTTATCTTTTAGAGATATGTACAGAGAGCCCCTGGAGAAGGGCATGGCAACCCACTCCAGTATTTTTGCCTGAAGAATTCCATGGACAGAGGAGCCTGGTGGGCTACAGTCCATGGGGTCACAAAGAGTCAGACACGACTGAGCAACTGACACTCTCACACACACACATGCACACACACAGAGATAGTTACATATAAGTGATAGGATGTTTGGGAGTTGCTTCAGAACGGTCCAATGGGTAGAAATGAAACCAAATTGGCATTAGTTCATCATTGTCAAAAAGTTAAAAGCCGGTGGCACGGGGTGCACTCCTGCATGAAGTGAAGTGAAGTGAAGTGGCTCAGTCGTGTCCGACTCTTTGCGACCCCATGGGCTATAGCCCACCAGGCTCCTCGGTCCATGGGATTTTCCTGGCATGAATACTGGAGTGGGTTGCCATTTCCTTCTCCAGGGGATCTTCCTGACCCAGGGATTGAACCCAGATCTCCCGCATTGTAGGCAGATGCTTTACTGCCTGAGCTACCAGGGCAGCCCACCCCTTCATAGGGGGAAGGCTATTTGGAGCCACTGCAGCCTTGGAAGGCTCACAGCTTCACTTGGTTTCACCACTAACTCACTGCCCCACAGCCCCTGATGCTCTCCAGACCTTTTCAAATGCCCCCTTGTTAAGCTTTCTCTCTCCATCCTGTTACTTGCACTGGAAAGTGACACCTCGCACCAGAATTGAAAATAAGGGAAATAAGTTTGCCCATAGGAAGCCTGTCTTCCTGGTGGCTCAGATGGTAAAGAATCTGCCTGCAATGCGGGAGGCCTGGTTTCGATCCCTGGGTCGGAAAGATCCCCCTGGAGAAAGAATGGCAACTCACTCCAGTATTTAGGAAGCAATCTAAACCATCAACACTGAATGCATCAGAGCAAAGTCACCTTGAAGGAGTGGAATGCCCAGGCCAGTGAGACTTGGCAGCAGTCTGATTTAAGTCGTTAGGAAATTAGTATGTGTCCATCACGTGGCAAGCTGAGGGTGGCGGGGGTGGAATCGGGTGGAGGCCTGGCTTTTTTCTCTCTGGAGTCATTCTCCTCCCTCCCTTGCTGGTGCTGGCCCTGGCAGGCTGATCTATATGGCTTTGGTGGAGTTCAGCCAATGAGCAGCCCCAGAAGGTGCTTCCTGAGGGGAGGGGAGTGGGGTCAACTTACTTCTTCCCCCGGCTCTCCCACTGCCACCTAGGATTCCCCAGTGCTCCTCATGAGGTTCCTTCTCCAACTAGGTTTTGCTAACCATTCAGTAGCTTTGGGCTGAGGGATGCTTCAAGCCCATTCCTCTGCAAACAGCACCTTGGAAATAAGCCTTTCTTAAATTATCCCACCTGGAGGAGAAACTGGCAACCCACTCCAGTATTCCTGCCTGGAGAACACCAAGGAGAGAGGAGCCTGACAGGCTCCAGTCCATGGGGCCCCGAAGAGTTGGACATGACTCAAGCAACTGAGCAGGCAAGCAGGCAGATTATCCAAATGTGGGTGTTGCCCACCCTTTGCTGTTTGAACCCTGGGGGCAACTGAGGCAGAAACTGGAGTTGGGTTACCCACTCAAGCACCATCGATCAGTGAAGGATGTGGCATCACCTCTGACCCATGGAGCCTTATGGATGGGCTATCCCAGCGTGCTCCCAGTAAACTCACAAATCCTGGCAATCCTTACCCTTCCTGGAGACTGGGCCACCCTGCCAGCCTTAGTCAATGAGCAGTCCTATGACCAACCTGCAGGGCCCGGGCTAGCGAATGGCAGCAGCCAGTCAACCAGTTTCTGACTGCCTATGATGGCTTTAACCTTCTGGCTCCTTCTAGCAGCCTTGCTTTAACTTGGTTCCAGAGCTGACTAGCATGGATGGTGATGAGATTGAGTTTCTGAGCCTACAAAGCTGAGAGCCACACTAGGCTGTGGACAGGCCACCAAGGTAATTGTCCCTCTGACGGGAGTTGTCTGAAGCCCAGTCAGTCCTGTCCAGGGTCAGGGTTCTGCACCGCTGAGCCTCGCATGCCATTTGAATTATATGCAGTCCTGAAGCCACTCCAGCCTTTGTGAAGGACACCGTGAAGCAGAAAAGAATAGCCTTATCGCTTTGAGAGGAAAGGGGGAGGCCACAGCAGGTTAATGTCCACAAAACCTCTGTGTCCCCACCTGGAGGGGGTAGTAAGGAGTTTTATAGTAAAGGTTCAAAGAGAAGGGCGTGATCGGCTCATGGACATTCTTCTGATTAGTTGGTGGTGAGGTAATTGGGTATCAGCATTATCAGCCTCTGGTTCCAACTGGTCTAGGGTGTACGTGCCTGGGAGCAGCATACCTTTAACTTCTCCCACCTGGTGGGAGCTTCAGTATCTGCAAAAAGCTATTGTGTGTATGCCTTCTGGGGGAACCGGGACCCTGCCCCAAAGGCTACATTATTATTTCCTGGCTGCTCCTCCCTATCTCCACATCTCCTCCCTTCCCTAATTAGCATCTGTTTGAACCTGCCTGTTGGAACTCCTGGAAGGTCACGGAGGTTGAATGAAGCCTATTTCCTGTAATCAAGAAATGGGGGACACAGAAAGGCTTTTGTGCCCCAGAGCCCCACAGGGTCCTGCTCAGTATCGGTATCGCTCTGAACATCACATAAAATCATAGACTTGTGGAGCTGGAATGGCCTGAGACGTGAGTGGGCCTGGTCTCGGCTCATTTGAAGGGTAAGAGATTTGGAGATCAGAGAGGCTGAATAATTTGCCAAGGGGTATTCAGAGAGTGAATTGGTCATGACAAGCCCCATCCCAGGGCAGTGTCCTTTTTATTTTTTAATTTCAGCTTTATTATTAACTATGTGTGTGTGCAGGTGCATGTGTGCTCAGTCGTGTCTGACCCTTTGTGACCCCATGGACTGTAGCTCACCCCAGGTTCCTCTGTCCATGGGATTCTCCAGGCAAGAATACTGGAGTGGATTGCCATGCCCTCCTCCAGGGAATCTTCCCCACCCAGGGATCAAACCCATGTCTCTGGCATCTTCTACATTGGCAGGTGGGTTCTTTAGTACTAGGGCCACCTGGGAAGCCCATTATTGAGTATACTGACAGACAAACTTTGAATTAACATACCCATCATCTCCCATATCTATCTATCTCTTCCTCTTTTTTATTTTGGTGAAAACATCTGAGTTCCATCCTCCCACCAAACCTCAACCACACTGTCAGTGTTACCAACCATAGTCACCACGCTTATATCAGACCCTCCAACTTTATTCATCTTATAACTGAAAGTTGGGATCCTTTTACCGGCCTCTTCCCATCACCTTTCTTCCTAGCCCCTGGCAACTACTTCTCTACCCTGTTTGTAAGAGTTAGGCTTTTTTTTCCTTTCGGATTCCATTTATACAGGATACCAGTGGTATTTGTCTTTCTGTCTCTTATTTCACTTAGCATAATGCCCTCAAGGTGCATGTTGTCACCAATGGCAAGATTTCCTTCTATTTTTCTGGCTAGATAATGTTCCATTGTATGCATATATGCCACATCTTCTTTATCCATTCATCCATTGATGGAC